CCCCCCTCCCATTTCTAGCAACTACAGAAAAATGTTTTACATGACTTCAAGAGTATTGTCATAAAATATTCTCTTTCAATTCTATAATGCAGATTAAAGACACATTAAACCAGTTGGAGCAGTAAAACACTGACATTGGTTTTTGGTGCACAATGTATTGTTCCAATTGTGGTCTATTTGAGATTATTATGCATCTCTTTCTGCTCAGCAGAATTTTTACATAATAGTAATGAAAGGAGAGACTAGGCAAGCTCAGTATTACTTTCTATTTGAATTTCTTACATTTCATAAAAATAATAAATTGTAAAATCAACAATCAAACATTGATAGTTCGCATGCTTTAAAAGCAGCTTCACTGGCAGATGACAAGAATATGCTTGTCACTCACACAGTAACACTTCTTACAGCAATATTACTTCAATTATAAATTATCTATGTATACATTAACCATCGATATGACTTGCAAGAGAAGTTACGTGTCTTGATGCCTGTAAAACTGCTTTTGAATGCTTTATTAAGTCACTTCAGCAACATCTACATCAATCACTGTCTACAAAAATTTGTAACATAACACACCAGAGACATTCAATTTCTGCCAGAAATGTAAAAGGAAGAAAAGGCAGATATGCATGTGTAACTGGGATGTAATCCATTCTCTCGTCACAGATTGCTTCATTAACTGTCACACCAATCAATTATGTCATGCTCTCATTTTATGAACAACAAAAGTATCACAGAGTAAACAATAACATAATACAACTAACTAGATCATTCTCTTCATTTTCTACATTGTCTCAGTATTACAGGATGAATAACATTATCAACTCGATTTTTTCCGCATTGTCATATATTACAAACATGCATCCACTAATGGCATCAAATAACATGGTTAACATCAACTCTATTGAGTACTGATATATACTTTTATATACATGAATTATTGTGAAGCAATGTACATTAATACATTACAGAGTGTTTATATATATTTATAGATGTACACATATGTATATAAAAATCTAGCTGATTCACAGCAGTATCAACCAATCAAACTTCAATTGAATACTGTTCTATGCCATATGACAGCAAATGTCCCATGGTGCACAAACATAACAGGCATAACATTCCTACCACACACAGAAGAAAGGGCAGTATTCGAGAAACACATCTCTGACTGGCTCAGACTACAGTAATGATTTTTCACTGTCTCAGCTAACAGTAGCAACATACTTCATATAACATTTATATGATTACACAATTTAGATATAATTACTTGATGTCAAGTATTGACTTTGAGCTTTGGTGAAACAAAAGTATAAAAAGAGATCTCTTGTTGTATACAATAAATGTTATGACTATTTACAAATGCACATTGAAAACTGAGTATGTACATAATGAAAAAACTCATTTGGAAACATTTGGTGATAAAAGAAGAGAGACGTCCATACAAGCAGTTTACATTACACAAGAGAGGCTGCTAACTGAATGAAGACTAATTAACAATTCATTGTCTATACTTTATTATACAATATTGCAAATACACTAGGTATGAAGTATGTGGCTCCTAGAACGTTTAATTCCAATTGGGACCATTCATGTGCATACTTTATCTCTTCATAAAGACAACTAGCAACAAAGGCAGCATTACATATTGATATGCCTGCCACTCCTAGTATACTGTACGTAGCCTTATGGATGCCACATCCCAAAATGTGTGGCTTCATAACCCCTTCTTTTCAGCTCGGCTCAGCTCCAAGGCATACTCCAGATCAGCTTGCTCTTGCTTGAGGCGCTCCTGTCTTTCTGTCTCTAGGCGTAAGCTCTCGGCTGCAGCCCACGCTAACTGCTGGTCCTCAGGAGGCAGAGCAGCAGCAGGTCGGCCTTTTTGCCCACTTGCTAGCACTCCTCCCCCCACAGCTCCATTGACTTTCACTTTCACCCTGCTGTTGGTGGTGCTATTGTCACTTGCCAAAATGGGAGTGGGTTCCCTTCTCACTTTGGGGCTAGCTGTCACTGGCAAAGCATTGCCATTCTGGTCCCCTTCTTCCTCAAATGGATCAGCAATATGAAAGGGGTCTTCGTACCGATAGTTTTGGAAGGGATCCTCTGTGAATTCCAGATGAGAGTAACGAGACTGTGCGCTGGATGTACTTGTGTTCCCCTGCGTAGGTGTCCTAACAGCAGGACTTCGTGGCATGCCTGCTGCTGGGCCAGAGAACTGAAGAATGGGAGCAGAACTTTTTAAGGCTGAAAAATATTTGGGAAAGAAACAAAAACAATGTCCGGTTACTTGGAATCTCCACATCAGACCTGTAAGAAAATGGAAACTTCAACCTCATGTGTTACCATCTCTGGTAGTGCCACAGATACAGTGAGGCAGCGGGTGCAGCAACATGCATGCAAGCAGCATGCTAAACTAAGCATCACAAACCTAGAATGTCTCAAAAACAAAGAATAAGAAAAATATATATTAAAAATAAATCCAGAAAAAAATTCCCATTCATCTCATACTAAATTGAAAATCAATTTTGAAAGCATTGTTCAAAAATTTTCCCCTTTAAGAAAATAATCTAAATAGAGGCTGAGTGCAAGATGTAAATTTTACATCAAATATCATGAGCTGTATGAATGCAGCTAGCAAAGAACTGCTATTGTCAAAATGAGAAATAGGGTGGATAAAAAAACAATTTTAAAAATTTGTGAACTTTGCCCCCTATAATCAGTGGTAAAATTTGTGGGTGGTTGCAAATAGAACACGTAACATTGACATTGTGATGTGATGTGTGTATATGGGAATGTCAGGTCTACGATAAACGAAAAAAGGACACGGCACAAATCGACGTAAAATAAATAAATTTATATATAAAAATAAATTACCCAAAGATACAAAAAGAACACACACTTCAACACATATTGTTTGTTCCAGCAAAATCACTCCCGCTTCTTCCACAAAGTGGTGGAGTCGTGGCCCAACACCGCGGAAGTCACATTTCGTATCCCACACTCAG